TCTCTTCTTAAAAAAAAGGAGTCAGGGGCTGGACTCCTCCCAGTATCCTTAAGAAAGAGACAATTCTGACTCCTCCCAGGTGAGCAGGAGGAAATACAGCTGCATTTCTAAGTAACCATCAGAAAGTGCTCTCTAAGTGCCATGTACAATTAATTCCCTGACCTCTCTGCAGAGATCAAGAGAAAAAGGGACATGGTTGATAGTACCTTGCTCACTCTAGGACTGGTTTTGAACATCTCCTGTCCACTGTACAGTAAATACAGGCCTGCTCTGGAAAACTGGTCTGACAGGAGAAAGCAGGACAGGATTTATCCGAGAGAACTTGTGTTAACTGGCAGGTGAGGCAGTGTGGGTTTGAGGTGTCACTAAGCTGCAGTGGGAGGACTAAACCCTTCAGTACTTTTGATGGAACTAACTGTGCAATCCATTGAGCCAAGAGCTGCTGTCCCTTCTGTCCAGTATGTCCTGAAAGAGTTAAAACACCACTAACCCAAGGAACTGACAAATCCAAGTATTTAAGTCCTGTGATTTTACATCCAGCAGCTGCAATTTTTCCCCCCCATCTATCACAAAACTAACTTATCCAAAGAATCCAGCTATATTTTTGCACAGCCAACCTGCCACTGCCACCTGCAGAGAGCAGAAAAGGATTCCCAAACACTGTCAGGTTGCTGAGCAAAGCAGAAGGGACTCTCTGGGTGACAAGCAGCCCTACAGCACTTGGGTTGGCCTCACAAGTTTGTGGCAGTGTCAGAATACAACTTCAGCTTCACAGTCACAGCACTGCCAAGTGCTCAAGTTCCTGGTGCTCAGCAGAAACAGGAGGGGGCACTAATCATGACAACTTTGGCCAGTTGAGGATTTCAGTGACTGTTGTATTTAACATTTTATACAAAACACAGACAAATGCCTACCATAAAAGGGCTGAGGAAAAGATGACTCTCCCTCTAATCTTACAAAAAATATACTTGTTAAAGTGCCATCTGCAAGAGAGCAAAACAGACACACTCAGCTTTCTTCATTTATATTTCAAACAAGCACAAGAGCATCTGTGAATTCCAAGACACTGGACTCCTCCCCTCACCTAGTCTCTGACAGGCAGTGATCTACAGTTGAGACTGATGCAGCTTTCTCATTGCAACACCAGGCAAAAATAGATCTTTATACTATTATCCAGAACATTCAGGAGAGTAATTACAGTGAAGATTTGAAAGGATCATTAACTTTGACTTATGAGAGGCAATGCCTCCCCCGTTAAGTACATTTCAAGGTTCCATAAGGAACAACCTGTATTATCAGTCTCCTTTTGTATAATTATTTCAAACCACTGTGTTTTCTTTCTAAACAGATTGTCAAAGCACTCAAATCCTTGCCTTTTATATCCCTGTACACAGAAGTGCAAGTCCCATAGATGCAACCTCCCAGAGCCCATGTGATTTACACAGTGAAGTGCTGGCTACACACTCCTTTGACATCCAACTTGTTCTCTGTAGGTTTTCACCTCACTAATGAGTTTGACAGCATCAAGGTCTCCTCTTTGAGACCCAAGGTATTAGCAACAGGTTATCCACAGAACAGTAGGGATCTAGGCAAGGCTGGGTTTAAACACAACAGCCAAACAATAGCCTAGCATCTTGAATTCATCCACTGGAGAGCTAACACACAACTACTCAAGTAGTCAAGAGTTCTGTCCCAGAATCAGCCTTGCCTGTACAAACAACAGAATGTGATTTTCTGCTTTGCTGTCCTCCCTGATGATCAGAATTCTCCCTCAATGTCACTTCATACTCAAGGAACACGAAGCATCTGAAAGCAGCTGCTCTGCATTCTCTGTCTGCAGCAAGCACAAAATAATGGAGGTCAAAGTGTTTATTTCCATAAACTTTGGGAAAAAAAAATACTATTCTCAGGGCTTTATACCCAACATAATTGAACGTTAGGCTGGTGACAGATGATAAAACTGTATCTTTGGATTCCCAGGCTGCAGTGAGGAGCCTCAGGGTTTTATTTCATCTTGCAAATAAAATGGAAGCAGCAAGCAGACAGTTAGTTCCCTGCCACTGTGCCAGCAGGTGCTGGCAAAAGGGCACCAAAGTCTCTCACTCCCTTCTCTAGATGGAAGTGCCATTTGCACTACAGAACATCTCACCTGGGAGGATTTTCATGTCTTGTCAGTCATTAACCTTTCAAGTGACTTCTCTGACAAGAAGCTATTTTAAGTAGCATTTCCCTTTTCCAAAATAGCCTCTAGTGATTCCAAATGTAATTTCATGTGAAGAATGACAAGGGGTTATGCCCAAAGAAATCTGCTGGGGATCCAGAAGGTGCCCCACTGGCTAAACAAACAGGATACAGGCTTTATTTAGAATCCACTGGAGCCTACAAAATTCCTTCTCACCTGCCTTTGATGAGTTTGGAATGAGCACCCAATTCCACAAATAAACTTCAAGCAGTTTTATGGATGGAAGGACTGACATTACACCCTCTCCAGGTTTATAACAGGATTGTTTTCCAACAGTACCAAAAGCTCCCTGGTTATTCAGCCTATTAGCCCCTTCATACAAGCTCTTTTCTCATCATCTGAAGAGTAACAGATTGTATTCCTCTAGGAATAAACTAGATTTCCCATTTATTATAGCCTATGGAGTCTTTTAATGACTTCATGTTGAATTAAATGAGCTTATGGCTTTTTTTAAAGCCTAATTCTGCAGTTGCCAAAGATGCATTTTTATGCTAAACAACCAATGCATTCATCTTTACTCCTGCCATCTACACAAGAATGAGACTTCAGAGCATAAAAGGGCCCACAGAAGTACTGACAGAACAGGTAGTTCCCCCCTTAGTACCACCTTTTGTAACTCAACAAAACACAACAAGCCTGAGTAGATATTCTTGAGTATCTGAAGCAGTGAAGGCCATTATATGCTAAAAAATTCCCAATTTTCACTTCATTCTAAGTATTTTCCAGTTTATGATGAAGTGCCATTGTAAGAAGTGCTTACCTAAATTCCTTGGCTTACACTGCTCTGACATCTAGATCAAATCTGTGAACACTCTACTCAGCACTGCTGCTCAGAAGAAAACCTGCCCTTGAAGCCAAATCAAGCTTTCTGTCACAAATCCCACAACTGAACACAGAATTTCACTGACAAAACATGAGCTTGAACTATCTTAGATTCTCTCAGCTCTCCAATATTAAAAGGAGTGATGGAATAAACCTGTCCCTTATGAATTCCTATCAAACTCACAAGGCAGTGCTTTGCTGAGCTCCTTGTTGAGAAGCAGCCTGTAGAATATCTGTGTATGTCCAGAATGACAAAACCTGTCAGATTCTGTTCTGTATTTGACAGCACTTTCAGTGTCAGCTTCACTGTTCCACAGCAATCACTTTTCCCAACTTGCCTTCCCTGCATAAACTGACAAGATCCAGGTTTGCCCATGTCCTGTGATTTATAAGGCTGCCTCCAGTTGCAGGTAAATGCTCATTAGGTGGAAACATAACTTGATAGTTTGACAATTCCATCAAAACCCAGCTCTGGTTGTCATGTCTTCATTGGGAGAGCCCTGTGGAGCATTCAGCCCAGCAGATCTCTCATCAACCAAGAGTTTTATCTTGCCTAATCACTCAGCTTTGATGGAAAAGTATTCCTGTAGAGTGATCCACCATTCCAAACAGGAACAGAAGCCCTTGGAAACATCCCCAAAATATGTGATGATGACAAGTGCTAAACCTTAGCCTCTTTGGCACAGCTTCTTCCCCTTGAAACCCAGGGCTCTGCATTACATTAGGGAACCTCTTCTTTCAGAGAAACAGCTTTCACTGGGATACTGGACCTCATCTTGTTCCTTCAACAAGACTTGACAGTGCAAAGCAAATACACTTTGGAAAGAAAATTGCTTTGCACTCCTTTCAACAACTCCCAGGAGCACAGGCCAAACACAAGGAAGCTCCAAGGTACAGGCAAACCATAAAATCTCTTGCTCATATTATTTGCCAATCAAGCAAGCTCCAAAGTGTAAAACCATTTTATTTTACTTTAGACAGTAAGTCTTCCCAGGGGGAATGGTTTGATTGGAAGTGTCAATCCCAAGTCCATTACAAATCACATCTTTTCAGAAGGTATTTACCTCCTATGACTATTCTGCTACCAGAACTGCAGGAGACACACAGATTCAGTTAGAATTTAAAAGTAAAAGGCCTACCATAATAACTACTGCCTTTAGCATCAGAAAAGTGTAAAGAAATTGTGCAACAAGTATTTGTACTTCACAGCACCAGAAAATTCTGCCCAGGTAACCAGGTATTGAGAGCCAAGGCAACAGTTAATTCTGGCAGGCCTTTACTGCCAGGGAGCCTGCAGTGTTCTTGTGATGTGTATCAACAAAGAGATTCTGCTTTGGGCATATGGAAGTGGATCACATATCAAAAGTAAGAATTAGGGAGAAAAAAAACACCTTACTCAATAGAAAGTTAGCCCAATATATAAAAACCATACAAATGTTTCAACAGTTTGGAGGCAGCAACAACAGGAATGAGAAATATTCCTGCCAAGGTGGCTGTTTACATCAATGTCTTTTTGCCCACCTTGTTTTGTACCTGCATCTATTAAACTAACTGGATGTGCTGCCTCAGCTGGCTGACAAACACATGGACATATTCAGCAACTTAAAAGCTTGCAAGCTTATTAATACAGTCAACAAACAAATATACAGAACTTTAACTGAGGAAAAAAGAAAAAAAAACAGGAAAACCAGAACCCAGAAGGTCCAAGAGGCTCAGCATGTCTCTGCATTTGAGAGTCTTGGAGAGACAGGAGACACCTGCCATTGATTCTTCTAACAGTTTCTTGTAACAGTAGATGCAAAGCAACAACAGATACTGGCCACTTGTGTTGTTCTTACTTTAGAGGGGAAGGGAAATTACACAGCCCAGCCTCAAGGTGGCACAAAGCAGGGATGTTA